CTAATGGAACACTAATCTCATAGTTTCCTTTTGAAGAGTAAATCCTTTTTCAGTCCAGATGTTGGACACGCTTACAGTAGCATTCGAGGCTGGGGTGATCCTCCTATTTAACTTTGAATCGATGCTTCCATCGCTGGAGATAATGGAGCCAAGAAATTCGAATTTGTCGCCTGTAAAACAGCCGTCCCGTGTGGAATTCTCATAACTTTTGACTTCCAGTCGATAAAAGAAGACGCCGGCTTCCGTGTTGCTTGCGGAAGTCGCCAGGTGACAGAGCCAGTTTCCTGTACTTTTCACCTGTGGTCTCATCTATGAACTGCAAGTCAGCAATGTATTTAGCCAGGTGTCTTGAATCGCACTTTTCCTCTAGAATGAGACCTTCTTCTCCGCCAGAGGGAGGATTGTTTCAGACAAGAAAGTCAAGAACAATATTGAATAGCAACGGCGGAAGCACCGCTTCTGACAACAATATTGGCATCGTTTCCGTTGGATGCTTGCTAAACACGGCACATTATGACTCAAATAATAGGGTGAAAGCAATAGGTAATCATGTCTTCTTATTAAACAGTCTCAAAGATCCAGAGCCTCATTGATGAATGTCATAAATATATCATATGAATACACTCAGACTGGTGCAGTACTAGTTTAAAAATCATGAAAACTCTTCGTCAAGTTGGGTGGAACTCGAAATAGCTTTCTTCCCTTGTTTTCGGCAACCGCGATTCATAGTGGATAGCAGAATCAAATACGTGATGAGGATGTTGCAGTAAGCTTGCAGTAGTGCGTTACCCAGAAGATCAGCTTTTTACCACACAAAATCGATGAAAGCTGCTTCAGAGGCAAAGAATGTCCAGGAAAGTTATTCACAGTTTTGATATATAATCATTTTATAAGTTGATGTTTTGTATCCCTAAATCAAAAATTTTAAAATGGAGTTAACCAAACAACTAAGTGGCAAAAGTTTTGAAAAGTAAAAACTTCTCATTCGCAAACAGCTCATTTTTCAATAACGTAGTTGAACTATTCATTTTAATTTATTGCCCTTTACTAAAACAATGTGCAAATGGCTACCGGCTTGGTCACTAGTGGCGTATTCATCCGTTCCGGCACTCAAAATTTGCATTAGACCATTCGATGGAGCTGGACTGTGTTGGTGACTTATGCAAGACATGAACTACAACCATGAAGAGTCAATTTTGAAACTCAACGCAGAAGGAATACGTTCTTTTATCAACAAATCAGGAAACGACGTCTTCGCACATTGTTGCGAACCACCTTAAAGATAGAATGCGCTAAAGGTTGCTCGTTGTAAACCAAAAACTTTAAAATTTTTCCAATTTGATATTAAAATAATGCTGCAAAATTGGATTCAAACGGCGAAAATGCACAGCGCAAAGAAAAAAGAAAAATTAATTTCTCACTTTACACCAGCAACTCATTGCACCGCCCTCTTGCCTCTAGACGCCTGGGGTGGTCATTTAAACAAGTGCAGGTCACGGCTCTATGGTGTTTTAGCACTTGTAGTGCATGGGACTCAGGACAACGTCTCGAAGGTGGGTTAAACAAAAGTATGTTCGAACAAAGAACGTTGCCATGGTCCGTAAGAGAAAGAGTAACAAAATGGAATCTCGACGTTTTGGGGAATTATCGATACCACAGTTGATTATGTAACAGTAAAAATATCGATATATCTTTTCCTCTACATCGCCGAAGGTCGACAAAAAGATGACGAGGACACCGGTTAGCCAAGGAGCCACCGCTCGTTCCGAATGGAGGAGGGAGATAGCTCAGTGGCGTTGCATGACGTCAGATAAGATTCCACGGGAACGATACCGACAGGGGAGCTCACTATTAAAAATTGGACCATCTTCTCACTCAGGGGAAAAGAGCAAGAGCCAATTGATGATGCCGCAAGGTGTCGAATGAGCGTAATTGAACTCTCGTTAACGAAACGACAAAGTTCTGGAATTCTGAACCTTGGCGGGGGAAAGCTGAGGGAAGGGAAATTTTAACCAGATGTCGAAGTCACGATTCAGACTCGTATTATGGTAGGACATATCCTCACTGACAGAACTTCCTGCCGGACATGGGAGGCACAACTGACAGTTAAAGAGAAAACGGCAGCATTGAATAACTGGCTGAACACAGAAAGCATTCAGCTTTCATGCAATATGAAGAAGTGTAAAGCGGCAACGAAAGCAGTGGTCAAAGTGAAGGTTGAATCCTCGGAGAAGTTCAGTGATGTGTTGGAACGAAATTTCCAGACGGCAAACCAGGTATTCTGGCAGACCATCCGTTGGGCGTGAAGTGAGAAAAGGCTATCTAAGAATCTTGTTCATCCTCTTACCGAGGATAAGAACATTCTTCGATGTAGAGAATACTTTGAGGAACTGCCTAACCACCAGGAATCGCAGGAAAAATCACCGGAAGTGCAGCATAGAAGGGATTATAGTCTTTCAATAGATGAAGTCGCAAAAGTTGTAAAAATCTGGGAAAGGGGCATGACTGCTGAAATCGATGAAATCCGTCGTACGACTAATGCTGGCTCATTTTGCTGGCCATTGCTCTCTGCAGATTAGATCGGCGTTCGAGTTGAGTGACCAGCAGCGTTCTGCACAAACCAACCCAAGACGTTGTGACTCAAGCAGAGCTGAGTCTCTGAAGGCCAATTTATTTATGCTCAAGTAGATCATCATTCCGATGCACATATACGGTTATGAATTGTGGGCCATGACTAAAATGCTACTGTCTGGGGGACAAGCGAGCGAAATATTGGCTTTATGAGACAAAATGGTGGGGTGTGGAGTTGAGATATCTGAAACAGCCTTGTTGTAGGGCCGCTGTTTCTTTAGATCGCAATGTCACAGTTACAACGGTTTTTGGACGTCTTGTGAATGCTTTGAGAAAGGAACTACTGCTGAGCTACGTCTCGTTCAGTCGACCGGTCGAAGACCCCTGGGATTACCGCGAATAACCTGGTCTAAGTGCATCGAAGAGCTCTCCTAATTCTGGTATGTGATCAGGAACGTTGAAGGCATTGTCTAACGAGTCCGCCTACGCAATCCGAAAGGAAAACGGTCATCGAAACTGATTGACTGATCAACAGTGTTGTGAACTGTCATCTACTCGGAACACAGAAGCCATCGTATATTTTTCAAGTACGAATTTTGAAAACCCCGTGAATTCTGTTGCAACGGGATCATTTTTTTAGAACCCTAATTCTGTTCAGTTTTGAAGCTGAATTATTTATGATCTGATCTCTGGTGTTTTTCCTACCTGGCATGGGAGACCTTGCCAAGGGTAAGTTTCAATGGTTCAACAAGCGACTGTCAATGAAAAATGTGTCATGGACTAGGGAAGTTTAAAACGATGGTGCGATGTTTTTTATATGAATTTATATGTTGATATTCTGAACGAAGCACTCTTTTGCCATGATGTTGGCATATAGCTGAGATTGCGTAAATGTTTCTTCTTTTCTTTATTTTTGTAATTTTCAACAGCTGAATCGACAGCCAGCATTGCATGGACATTTGTAAGGAAATAAGTTGTAAACTAAACTCTCCTCGAACCTGAGTTTTCAGTTATGGGAAAGAGGGGGTCAATAAATATGTGATAGACGTGTGGCGTTTGGAATGGGATGTTTCTAAACGATAAACTAGACCATCAGATTAAGTTTTTCTTCATCATCAGAAATCCCCTTGTACAACATTAGAAAACCACAACTCATTAGTTCTTGATTGAAAAATAATGCGTAGTACTTTTCATTAGGAACGGCGTACTGAAAAATGTTTACCTAAGCACATGTCATAAGTTTCCTAAAATGACCACAGAGAAGTGAATGCCTCATAAGTGAGTCTTTGTTGTATTGTTCGTGTAAACTGAGCATTGTGTGGTATTTTTTATGGACGAGACTAAAGTAAGCCATTATGATAGTCTTACTCAAATCGCTAATAAAAAGAGAGGCGTCCTGTGGTCACTCCTGGCAAATAAATCTAAGCGATAGGGAAAACGACCTGTTTCAGGGCCTGAAGTATCTGAGTCAAATTTTATTCCTTAATATCACAATCCGTAATAACCTGAGCGGACAATCGCACAACAAAGTAGTTACACCGATCGATGACTGGACTCTAATGAAGTTCATCCCATGTTCATTCCTCCCATACTGCCGCCTCCCATGCCGCTCATTCCGAGGCCTCCCATTCTGCCTCCGCCACTGGCACCATATCCTCCCATCATGCCTCGTCCACCGTAATTATTGTACCCGCCGCCCCGGTGACATCCACAGCTTCTGCGATTCCTGTGATGAGTAATCTGATCGCTGAAAAATCCGTCAAGACCTACAAATGGAACGTTTAGCAGCAATGTCTTCTTCATGAAAGTGTCTTACTCTTCGTTTGGCAAAGATCGAGGACGAACAGCAAGCAGAGAAACACCGGAAAAATTTGTGTTCGAGTCATATCAGCGATCGACTGACCAATCGGCTTATGTCTGCTGCGACAAATTCAAATTCATGCATCGGGTCTCAGCCAATGGATTTATATCAGCGTGATCTGGGTCGCTTTTTGTGCGGAGGCCGCAGATCGATATCCTTTCACTTCGTGCATGGAATTAAAAACTCAGTTTTGACTTGTGACTGTGGACAGGTCGCACGTAGGTGCTCGATGTAATAAACCACTACAGGAAGTTTGGAGGGGGCGATATATAATGAGGCATGATCGCATGCAAATAAATATACGAAAAAAATACAGCAGATTTATTATGTCAAAACCTGTTAGGTCTGCAGTCAGGCGTTGAGCAGGTAATGGAGAATGCATAAAACAAAGTTGAGCCTACTCGATCGTGGCGATGCCGTTCCGGCTCAGTATTAAAGTCATTCCAGTAGTCGCACCCGCTCAACATTGCTGCAACGAAGGGAGCTGGTCAGTCAGGTCTTCAAAGATAGAAAGACCGGTTATTCACCACCCACCACGAAAATGATGCTATGAGATATTTTGCATCAGCTACAGCACAGATGGACCAAAGGCTTAATTAAGTCACCAGAAGAGTTATGGGATATCTGGCTTTGCAAGGCTCGGCAAAGCGGACGAAAACTTTATCTTATAGAAACCTTTTAATGACAATGCTAAAGGAAACTAAGATTGTTTACAAATGCCAACGAATATTGTCGTTGTTTTGTCATCGTCATCAAAGGCTAGCAGAGCAACGCAGATTTATGATGTCCAGATTTAACTATGATATTTCAGATCGATATCAGGCAACCTTCACCTCAATGGCAAAAGTCATATTACTTGTCGCCAACAGATCTGCTTCAACAACGTGTTTCCAGGTTTCACATTGTCCTAAAACGCGTCTGTTGCTAGTAGGCGGTCGAGGCGGTTCGCACTTGAAAAAAATTTAGTTTAGTTTCACTTCCCCCATTCACTTTTGGGTCGTTTTATCAAATCAAGTCAGATACTGGTTTTTGAGTTCATCAGGTAGTTTTCTCATGCCGCTGGTCATCAGCTCCTGCTCGTCCGCCATTCTCTGAAACCATCACACTCTGGGAATACTTCGATAACAGCAGTTTCAAGCTGTCTAGACTATACTCATCATGCTTCAGGAACAGCAGAGGTTTTCTGTGAACACCGTGAATGAGCTGTTTTCAGGATGGTGATCTTTGCATCGGTTTTAAGATTTCGATCTTTCGGTATGCCATACAGCTTGACGAAATCCGCTGACGCCAGTCCAGGTTGTCGGTTCACCTCAAGGTCAATATCGCTACTAATGAACATGTTTTCGGCAATTCTGGTATGACTCTGAATGTAACCACTACCTAAGCAGTCGTCCATATCTAAGATAACCTGAGACATAATTTTGACTAGGCTATACGTAATTCTTCTGGATAGCTTAGCCATTCAGTATTTTAGTAGGTTTCGCTAATGATCGTGATAACTAGAATAAAACCATAATCATAAGCAAAAGCAGACACGTAGGACCTCCCGACGACAAACAGTGACAACTCTCATAACCTCTTGCCCTTTATCGAGCTGTTTAAACAGGTCATGGCTTTATGGTGACTGGTGACATAGGAACAGCAATGATTCAAAACTAAGCGATTTCTAAGAATGAAGCATGCAGTATTTACTAATACTTGTTAACGATATAAAACAGACTCGATTTTTGACTATTATGTTCTTCTTTTCAGGAATCATGGTTCAAGACAACAAATCACTAGGAAGAAGTTGAGTTCTTTTGCTTATCAACGCTTATCGGCATTATCTTCATAATCATAAGGGCGAACAATAAATAAATTATGTTTGTACAAGCAGCACACATGAAAGAAAAATAAATCGTTATTCGAACAGACATCCGTCGACATCTCTGTCTGCTAATTTCATTTCTAATAAATCGAATACTCCGTTAATGCTAAATTTCATCTCTTGCTTTAAAATTTTACATATATGTCGTATCTTCATAGTGTCAGGTATAGAAATGGGTTGATTTTGATGGCCGAGCCGGGTCAAGCAAACTCTTACAAGGCGAAACGATACAACATAACACACAAATGACAAAACGATGGGTTTACATGCTCGACGATCTGCGCGTAGTAAATGGCGCTCTCACATATGCTAATGCCTAGAGCACATGCTTTGACCTGATTACGTGGCGGTGTGCAGTCGATTAGATCAGAACATGCAAATAAAGTAGTCGGTCGCATCGATGCACGATTGCCTCATGGCGATCCCTTATGATCGTCCCTAACAATATAGAATATATTAATTTCGCTAACGAATGCAC